ATATATATATATATATATATTCCTTATATCTAAATGCTTATTCTTTAAATAATAATAATAATAATAATAATTATTATTATTATTATACTAATATTATATATATTGCATATGTAATTAGGTAACTATTTTTTTGGTGGATTGTGGATTTCCTAATCGACGCCAATTTTTAGCTCCATTTCGAGGTGTAAGGTATCATCTACAAGATTTTGCAGGTCAGGGTAATCACCCTGAAAATGAGAAAGAATTGTTCAATCTTTGTCATGCGTCTTTAAGGAATGTGATCGAGAAAATATTTGGTATTTTTAAATCAAGGTTCACAATTTTTAAGTCAGCATCTCCATTTTTATTTAAGACACGAGTAGAACTTGTGTTAGTATGTGTAACACTACATAATTTTCTACGTAAAGAATGTCGTTCTGATGAATTTCCAATTGAAGCGGTGGATGAACCTTCATCTTCAACGTTACCAATTAATGAAGATCATACTTTTGAACCTATTATTCAAATCCAGGAACAAGAGCGAAAATACGCTAATGCTTGGAGGACTAGTATAGATATGGATATGTGAGTGAATGCTATTTAAGAGGACAAGATATTATGGAGAATTATTATTATTATTATTATTATTAATTCTCTAGACATTATTTTTTTTTATTATTTTTGTCTTTGACTCTTTAAATTTGAATGTATGAAATTTTTTTTGAAATCTTATCAAATGTCAAAAATCCATGAAAATTCTACAAAATCCCACAGAATCCATTAAAATCCTGATTTAAAAGTCTTGCAGAATCCATTAAAATCCTGATTTTAAGTCTTGTAGAATCCTGCAAAATCTTAAAAGTCATGAAAATCCTGCAAAATCTTTTAAAATCCGTAGGATTTTTTTTAACTAAAAAAGTCCTTTAAAATCCTAATCCAATACACCCCCCTTAAAGATTCACTCTAAAGTGAAAATCAAAATGATTGTTACAAAAATATATCCCTTTTAGATATATCTATGTATATTATTGAGATAAAAATGTAATTTTAATTTTAAGTAAAAAATGTTAGCAGAATTAAGGGAATTTACATTCATTGACTATTCAATTTTCTCCTTTGAATACATGCCAAATTAAGGGAATTTACATTCATAGACTATTCAATTTTAACGCATCATTTATTATTTGGAATTTTCCCAAAGGACGGCACTTAGTGAAGAGAAATGAGAGGCTCTTCTCTTTCTTGTTGGTTCATATGTGCTTGTCAGGTAAAAGCAACTTCACACACCACACCATAGTGAGAAAAAACAAAACCAAAACCAAAAAAGAAATGCTTTCTTTCCCTCCCTTAGCTTTAATCAGTGTAGAGTAACCCTAACGAATCAATTGTTCCACCCAGTTACCATTTTCTTCCACATTGTCCCCTTCTTTTCTCTGCCTTGTCACAGTCTCTTTTTATTATCTCTGCTAATACACTACTCAACACTATTATTTTTGTTTTGAATTTTTTTTTTCAATTGTCATCGACAGTGAAACAAGTCTGCTTTTTGTCTCTTTCTCTGTGACCCCCTTTCACTCTCTACATTCCTCCAAATTTGTCTTCAACTTGCACGCGCCTCTTCTCTCAGCAACTGATAGATAGAATCATGGCTTCCAATCTAAAGACCCCATCTCTTCAGCACTCTCTCAGACGCCTCGTACTGTTTCTCTGATCCATCAAGGTAACACTCTCTCTTACCTCTCTGCAACTTCTGCCTTATCCTCAGAGAGAGAGAGAGAGAGAGAACATTTGTTGTCTACTCTTTGTTCTGTCTGAGAATCCAGACACCCTCTGTTGTGTTTGTTTTTAAATTCCCCAAAAGGTTGGAAATTTAATTGAGTTGAGCTTGCTGTTTGGAAGGGAGAAGGAAAAAAAAATGAAGGACTTTCCTTCATGCTTCGGTGAAAATGCAGTTCAGGTTGCGGATTCTTCATCTTCAAACGCCAGCAAGGCTTCACAGAATCTGGTTATCTGCGTTTACCAATGCAGGATAAGAGGTAGGTGCTGCTTCATAACCATCACGTGGAGTAAGAGCTTGATGGGGCAAGGGCTTAGCGTTGGGATAGATGATTCTTCAAATCAGTGTCTGTGTAAGGTGGATATCAAACCCTGGGTGTTCTCCAAGAGGAGGGGTTGTAAGAGTCTAGAGGCTTATTCTTGTAAGGTTGATGTGTATTGGGATCTTTCTTCTGCTAGATTTGGTGTTGGTCCTGAACCGTTGGAGGGTTTTTATGTAGGAGTAGTTGTAGATCGGCAAATGGTTCTCCTCCTTGGAGATTTGAGGAAAGAGGCTTTCAAGAAATCCGGTGCCATCCCATTACCCTCTAATGCTGTGTTTGTTGCTAAGAAGGAACATGTTTTTGGTAAGAAGTTGTTTGGCAACAAGGCTGTGTTTTGTGACAATGGTCAGATTCATGATCTTGTCATAGAATGTGACACTTCAGGGGTGTCTGATCCGTGCCTTGTAATTCGAATAGATAGTAAAACGGTGATGCAGGTGAAGCGGCTGAAGTGGAAGTTTAGAGGGAATCATACCATCTTGGTGGATGGCCTTGCAGTGGAAGTTTTCTGGGATGTTTATAATTGGCTCTTTGGTACTTCGCTCGGAAATGCTGTCTTTATGTTCAGAACATGCATCTCCGAGGAAAAATTGTGGGCTGGTCAACCCCTTTCTGATGCAAATGTGGTGCAGTGGTCGTTCTCTCAGAGGTTTTCTGATACCAAGTCGCAAGGTCTTGGCTTCTCACATATTTTATACGCGTGGAAGAACGACTAGATTTGTGGAAATCCACCATACTAACAGACCTCTTAGTGAGTTGATATTTATCAAGGATGCGACTGTTTTACTCTTGAAATTAAAGATGAGTACTTTTGCTTGTACCGTTTCCACTCTTAAATTTATACCCTCAATATATCTGTGCATTTGAACAGATCATGGACATTATTTTTTACTCCAATTGGCTGTATATTTATCTTCAAATGTTAATTTTATGATATCTATATTACAAAAAAATTATTCTACAGTTTGTTCTATGTTACTCAAGTACATATTCTCTGAATTTCTTTTATCAGTAATATATACCTGATATTCCCTAGATTCATGTTGTCATATATTTTTATCCTTTTGCATTGAGAATTCATCTTATCAAAACATGAGGAAGGACCTTCAAACTAGTAATGTCCAATAACTAAGAAGATACTGTAGCAGTTTCTTAACCAAAAGTTTGATATAGCAGGGGAAGCTGCGGCTGAAGAGGAAGGTAACATGTATGAGAGAAAAATTGCTCAATGATTTAGAATGATTTGTCGATTTGTTATGTTTCATAAAAGGAGTCCATGGATTCCTTGTTGTATAGAGCTTTTACTATGTTTCAAGAAACTAAGATCGTGAAACTATTATCAGGGCGTGGAATTAATGCTTGTTTTGTGCATGGATATGATAATTTCTTCCCTTAGTGGAATCTCTCCTATGATGCCTGATAATTAGAAAACTGGTTTGACATTCACACCAGTTATCTTTGTGCGTGCACACACATTTATACATTGTGCTGAGATGCCAGGTATCATCTTAGTTACCATATGAAGATGAATCATGTCTTGTGAATGATGTCTTTACTAAATTTATATGGTAATTAACCCAATGACATATGAAATATTGGCAGCTCATTTTGAACTCCGATTCATGAATCCTCTTTATGAAACTCTGATGTTTTATGATGCTACCTGGCTGCAGACCTCTTGTTCTCTTTCACAGCCAGATCCACGGATTTGTCTTTTTAATCCTGTGCCATGTCAGTTGTGTGATTCTGTCATACAATTGTGCAACAGGAATAAATTTAATATTTACAAACAATTGTAGTTTCGTGTAAGAAATACAGATGCAATTTCAGATGCCAATCTCATATGTAAGGAATATTCCATAATCCAAATAGAATAAAAAATTGTACCATTGTCATTAAGTTCCTTATTTATACCACATCATTTTTTTAATAGCATTTGTGATGCTAAATAATGGCACTGTGATTGTAAATTTGTAATATGCTATAATATCTACTTACACCTCAAATGCTTGCCTCTATATTCCACAAAAATAACTTAACCAGCAGTATTCATCTTCCAACATGATTGTAGCTGCTGATATGGGAAGAACAGTTTTCATGAATATATGTAAAGGTAAGGAGGAAATATATGTACAGAAGATGGGTGAGACAAACTGTTTATGTGTTCGCAATTCATAGTTGCTTACACTATTTTTGTTCCTTTATTCGCTTTTGTAAATATTCCTCACTTTGAGTTTGATAGATCATGGTGTTATCACTTTTGGAGATTGTATATAAAGAAGTGAATATTATATCTGTGACTCTGTCAATGTGATATATGACATGCATCCTTTTTATTTTTGCTTTATTGTTCGATATTCAGTTATTGGTGATTTGTGTCATAAATATTTTAAAGGAGGTGATAGAGGATGTGTATCAAAACGGATGATTTGAAATCTGCAAAACGTCATGGGCTCCTAATAGATATGTTATATTCTGAGTTTGGTGTATAAGTAACTGACATTTGGTGAAATGCATTCTTTTTTACTGGATTTGCTCCGCATTTTCTTTTTTCAACAGGCTTCTGTTGAAACATAGGCGTACTCTCAGCATACTTCTTTATTATTTGAGCTTTGCAGTAGTACCAGCGAGTACTTTTAACTCTGTTGTTAACCTTTTATGCATATAGGCATTTCTTGTGACTGCTTTGATCCCTCTTAAATGAACTCATACACATGCACCTAACATGTATGTTCCATATTTATTACTGTACGGTTTTTTTTGTGTCATTACCAAATTTTCGGTCCTAATGTTTTAAATTATTGTTTGTAGCTGAGAATACCCTTTTATGCTTGAATCTGGATGACTGTCTTGTCAATCATCTAAAAGTGGAGGTCAAAGTTAGATTAATGTGGAATATAATTTTAATGTCTTTTATGTTCTTCGTGAACTACCACTGATATTAGGTGTGGATCCGGCTGCAAGGTAATAAAGATGGAGCATTATGGTAAAGTCTACCTTACATTTATTTGTCTGCGGAAAAAATCGGTGGCTGTGGTATACTGCCTTAGGAAATATGTCACATATGTTTTGTAATGTGAAAAAGTTTTAGGTAATTAACACCATATATATCTTTGCATTCATCGACTTTCCTTTGCTACCTAGAGCCAGTGGATTTATGCATTATTCTATGAACGAATGGATTTTATTACTTGAAAATCTGCAATCACCAGACTTTTAAAATTTTTAAGATGTTAACAACGCTGTTTGTTTCCCAACGGACACCGAAAGTTGAGTGTTTCTTCAGATGTGACAAAAGCAAGAAAAATGCTAAATGGAATGAATGATTTGGTGGAAGTTGTTTGTCTATTAGTCAAGTTATGCCCAAAAAAAGTCCTCGAGTGATTTTATATGGATAACTCACATCAATTTAGTTTATTAGTGGTTGTTGGGTCCCTAAGTATGAAATAGTCAATCCTCGCGCACCATATCTTAGAGTAATAAAAGCATTTGTGCATACGGCTGATAATACATCATCTAATGCAGTATTTGCTAATATTGGTGTCAAATAATTTAAATCGATTCAAAATCATCTGATTTATTTTGAAAAAAAATCTGAAACATTCATTTTAAAAAATCAATTCAATTATCCAATTTATTTTTACAAAGTAGATTAGTTTGGTTCAATTTCTTTAATAAATTATTATATATAGATATAAAATGGATAATTGCATATTATTAAATCAATCTAGTTTAAAAAAATCTGATTGATGTTTTTTTTTTAATTTAACCAATTCACTTTATAAAAGATGGATCCATTTTTATAAAATAAATTGATTTAGTTTGGTTTAAAATTTTCAAAAGTCCTAAACTAAGGATATTGAAATGAAAATGAGTATATCATTTGATATCTCCAAGCAACAATATATATATATATAAAAGGAGAGATCCATTTATTTTAGGAGGAAGTTTACCTAAACTTACGCCGTTCAATAATTCATATTTTACATCAAATTTTAATGATCCAACTGTTGAATTTTAAGTTCTTAATGCATAGATCAAATCTATCAATTTTTAGAAAATTTGAAAGTCATTTAAGATTTCGTTTCATTAATTCAAATCAATGTATAAAATAATTTTATGATTATCCGTAAATTTGAATTAATGAAATGAAGTATCAAATGATTTTTAAATAAATGGTTCTATGAGGAAGAAAATCTTAATATTTTTGGATAAACAACTATATTATTGTTTATATAAATTATCCAAAGGAATGATATGCTAAATGAGGAAATTTTCTTCACACAATATGTTTGTAACTTGTAAGAAAAAGATAAATATGATAGTTCAAAGACTTTAACAAATGTCATCAAAAGGAAAATTTATTAGATAGTCTCATATTACCACATGTTTATAAATCTAACCAATCACTACATGACATGTATTTAAGTCTTTCAATTTAAGAGAAAAAATTAATAACATTTGATTACATGTGATATAAAGATTAGTTAAAAATCATGTGATTTAAGACTACCTAATAATTTATGCATCAAAATAGAGTAATACTTTGCTTTCTCCTTCCTCCCTCTTCTTTGATCGAGGTTTTCACTAAAGACATCTCTAATGCACCTAAATTTTGGCCCTTACTATTTGAATTAAGATGGAACTATGAGGATAATGTTTTAAAGGATAAGTACTTTTTTAATTTTTAATGCCTCATTCTTGAATCATAGATACCTAAAAGACTTATAGTTCACTTGGATGCGTTGTTATATACTCTTAAATCAAAAAATTACCTCATTTATTTTATATTGTTTCCCTCAATCTATTTCTCTCGAGGTATTTACAAAAAAAACTAAAAATATATTCAACACTAATTTTATCACATCAGTTAAGCCACGATGAATTGCAATTTGTGGAGATAGATGATTCTTATGCCAGATTCGTGTAAATTATTTACTTCGTGTAAATAATTTTTTTCATCACAATTTGATGTTTGGTAGAATTCACATCTTGATTACGTTCAAAAAACATATAAAGTAAACAGTGGGAAATTAATTGAGGAATATGTAAATGGACATGACAGTAGCTAAGTCATTTTCATTGGAATTGACAAGAATATTGCTTCAATTTTGAGAATCTAAAGAGGGCTTGTTTGGTCGTGCAGTCATACAAATTAATACATAAATAATTGAATTTTCACCCAAAATAATTAACGTTTTGACCCATTTTTTTGCCATAGATGAAAATAAGATTCTAAGTAATTGGTGAGAGATTCATGACCTAACTCATTTTAAACTCACGTCAAATCAAACATTAAATAAATTTGATTAAGATTCTTAAAAGAACCTACTTAATTTAAAAGGTAATATATTGGCCATTTAAAATCACTTAGGTTTCACATAACTATATTTAAATAAATATAAGACATATAATGAAGAAAATAATAATAATATTTTTATTATCCTTGTACACATTTTGTACTATAACATTTTGAAACTATATATTTATTAGTTTATTTAAGATTTAAATTTACTGACCTCCATGATGGACTATATTGGTAAACACAAGCCTTTGATTTGAGAGGTAGGTTAGTTTTAAGTCTTATTAAGATTTATTTATTATTATTGTTTCTCCATTCAAATAGCCTTTAACTCTAACAAAGAAGACTAAGAGGGTGTTTGCTTTTCATTTTGAAATGTAATTCTTTCGTCTCTCCACGTTTACATACGAATTTACATAGAAGCAGTTATTCATTGCTTCAAGTTGAACTTGAAAAATCACGTTAAAACGCGAATGCAAATACATGGTAAAGCTAACAAAGGAAAGTAAAGATACGTGAACACTAGCACACTACATATACCCTTATTTTAAACATGGACCTATCCCCCAGTTATCACCATTCAACCTTCATCAAGATTTTTTTGAGCATTGCTGTCCAATATCCTTTTTATATTTTTTATTACATCACTAATTTAATTTCATATTTTTTCTCTTTCCTCATTATATTTATTTATTTATTTATACAATAAATTATATAAAAATAGTTTATATTTTTTTATCGATGGTATGGAACAGAAAGAAAAAAGAAAAAAAAACTGACAAGAGTAACTTTTTCTTTTTTAAAATTGGCAGGTAAAAGGGTGCATATTTTTTCCACCTAACAGAAACCATCACTTTTCATAAAAAGACAGAAAAAGTTAAACGTAGATGATAAAGGGAGACATCAGTGTATGTCCCATAAAGGTTAAACTAATTAGTAAGAACGTGAAAATTGTGAGAAAACTCAAACATGTTAGAATTTGAAATTTATAATTGCTGTTATGAATTTAAAAAATACAACTTCAACCCATTCGATGATTAAATCATTATGCATATCTAATTTTTGAAAGGTTAAAATTATAAAGATCCATTTAAATTGTAAAAAAAAAACAGAGAGGTGTCAAAACAATTTAACCTATAACCTACATAAAAACTATTGCAAGGGTTCAGTAAATGGTATATTTTAGGTCAAAAGAAATCCCTGCACCCAACATAAACAGTGTCTGGTCTTGGTCCGTGCCGCCACGAAAGCTGCATTCTGAAATTTGTACGTCATCACACTCGATATCATCAACATTCAACAACTGGTGCCTAATGTTTTTCTCCTTTCGAATCTCAATGTTCTTTAAATTTCATTGGACATTAATTTTAGACATAATGTTTTTCATTAATTGCTTAACATTAAGAACTATTACAAGGTAGATCCTTATTCATGGCAGATTTAAATTACATGGCAATTGCCAAATTCCAACGTTCATCAAGTTTTCAACGAGAGCTAAAGAAAGGGCATCGGAATGATATAACAATAGAATAATATTTGTGGCATGGAGTAAGGAATATTGTATGGTGTGAAATGTGAATTGCGGAGTCAACAATGAACATGCTTGCATGCCACTAAAGGTAATGTTTATTTTAATAATTAAACATAAGAAAAGTGTCTCTAATTTAGGTTGTTCGTCCCATACATACCCTTTGTTCTGCAAAATGTGCTTTTGGGATGTTGTGAGGAGAGTCCGTGATGAGCGGGTAAACAAAAGCCGCGTTCATCAGTTCCTTTCCATTTAACAGACCAATCAATGACCATGCAATGCATGTCTCTTGCTACTAGTTGGTTTAGCAGCAATATATTTCCCAGTTTATGATAGGGAAAACCTAAGTCATCATTATGCATATGTACTACTATTATTCAATTGCCATATTAAATCCCTTTAACTCGTCTCACCTTCCAATCAGGAGTGATTGTTGGAACACAAATGCATAAACATTACTATATATGTTTGAGTAGGGTGCAATGTTGAGTGAAGTTTTTTCTTAGCTATACTTTTCGTGTTAGACTAATTATGAAATTCAACTTTTACCACTACAAATTAAGAACCTTAAAGTTAGGGTAAAATGTGTTTATCTTTATTTTTAAAAAAATCGAATTCAGTATTAGTCCTCTGAAAATTGTCTTATTTTTTTGTGTTTCTAAATTGAAAATACTTCATTTTTTTTATCTTTAAAGTAATTATGTTAACATTTAATCGTATATACACTTTTTTTGCAGTCATAATATTTAGTGACAGATATAAATTGTCGTAAAATATATTTTGAGAATAAAAAGTTATATGTTTCCAAATTAGAGGATAAAAATAGGACAAAATTGCTTTGGATGATTAAAATCGAATTAAAATATAGAGGGATAAGCTATTTTTTTCAGTTGGTAAATATTTTTCACATTTTTTAATTAAAATTAGGTCCTTAATTAAGAATTTCAACAATTAAAAAGTTATAAATTTTCTCTTGTTTTGATTAGCTTCTTTTATACGCATTAAACTTTCAACAATTAAACTTTGATACGCATTGTGCGTTTTGCTTTCAGAGATAAAAAAAAATCGAATAATTTATATTCTAAACTAACAACACGATCATTAGAATCTCAGTGAGCATAATCATACAAAATAATACATATACACAATAAACTCTTACCTGTCATTTTAGTTTTCAGAATATTTCTCTGTTTAAAATTACCAACATTAAAAATATTAATTGTTTTAACAATATCCTTAAGAATAATTGTATAGTAAAAAAAATGAATCAGATGAAAATATTTAATCTCAGAGATTGATATAATTAATTAATTTCTTAAAATGTGTACATTACTTTTAAGTTTTAAGAAGAGATAAATTGAGATAAAAAGAAGTAAAAGAGTGGAATATATTTTATAAATATAGAGCATGTATGTAGGAAAAATATAAATGAGCTGGCTTCTGATCATATATTAGTGGAATGCTTTCTCACAGAACAAAATTCCAGGTGGCCTACAGCTGTATAATGATGCCCATGCTAAATTACCATAAAGCCCTTCATTTTCCATTTCATTTATGCCATTCACATGTGCGCCGCTAATGTTATGGCTGTTCCATCCCATGCCAGCTCAGCTCAACCTCCTTCAACCAAATTCTCTAACTAAAAACCATAACAAATGTGTAAAACCATAATCTATAAAATATTAAATAAAATCTGTTGATATATGCGTAAGATATAAGGAATTTAATTATTCTTTAAATAAAACCTTGTGAATGAAGAAAGCTTACTCCTACCTAAACTAATTTATCAAGGGAAATGATAATTTCATAACATTTGTATAGCTAATTTTTCATATAAAGATGGTATCATAAATTGTTTGTATAAGTAAATGAAATGAAAATTTAAATGGGCTATTAAGTAATAACCCTCTCCAACGGTCACTGAGTGAGTGAGTAGAAAGACCGTAAAATCTCGTACTATAGTATTTACTAGGGTCACTTGTGTGGTTCCCTTCAAATAAGGAGGTTGTGCACGTAATTTGACACCAACGAACACAAGAGAAGAAGAGTTTGGTGGTGAATATCATCAGTATTATTAAGCCCTGTTGTGAGCATTTGATGTATAGAGCGGAGTCATGGGCGAGTCAAGCGACTCTGTCTCCATTGACATTGATTTGATACCCTTAGGAGGAAAGGTAATGTAATGCCACTTTCACACGTCACAAAGTGTCAAGAGAAAAATCCCTCTCCAACTTTGGCTTGTGTTTTTCTGAAATGGAACTCGACTGGAATTTCTGTCATAAATCATAATCATAGTGCTTAACACTATTGTGGTTTTGCAGGAATG